GCATATCAGGCAAAAACAAGAGAAAAATTAAAAAATAAAGAAGACAAAAACATTGTGGCATCTTAAAGACTAACTGCTATATTTTAATGTGAATTTTTATGGACAAGTCTACTTCTTCGAACAATTTGCTTCCAGTGATTTGGCCATTTCACTAACCCGAGCATCAAGCGAGACCACACAATAACATTTGCTCCATATTTACCTCCCTTGTCTGATGGCAATGTTTAGTTAGAAACCACAAGGTAAATAAATGGCAAGAATGTCTGCAGTCTCCTTGAGACAGAGCACGTGTATACCTAAGTGCTGAAGTGTATGATCACTTTTGATAACAAAATTTTATTTCATTTCTAAACAAGAAATTGCATCTTCTGTGCCACCCTAGCATGGGTCACTTATTTAGTCCTCCTCCCTGAGGGTACCCATTAAGGATGATTCTTCCTTCTGCAGCTATACTTTCTTTTTCTTTTCTTTTTTAAACAAGCTAGAGGTGCATACTGGTTTTAGGCTTAATTAGGTTTTAGGCTTAATTCTAAGCAGAAATTTTATCAGATTGCAATGCTAATGCTGCAACATACTAGGGATGGCATTTCCTTCACTGTTAGTTCACAAATGAATTAGGATGAAAAATAGATTTCAATTGCAGTGTTAGCCTTGAAAGGGATACCGATTGCAACCATGGATGAGTTAGCTTGCTGATAGCTTTCTTTTTATTGTAAGCTATAGGTTAGATATTATGCTATATATTACAGTTATTATTTTCTATATGCACTTTGGAGTCAATTTTGTACATAATTAAGAAGTACATTTTGTTCTAAAGGATATCATACTGTCACTTTAATTGCTTCATAAGAAGCCAACCTGAAGGGCTGCACATTTAAATGTGGGGTCCCTAGAGAATAAAATGCATGTCATTTCAGTTAATTTATTACAGTTTTATACAGTTTAGAGATGCACTATTAACATAGTGAAAGTAAGAAAAGAAAATAAGGCTTCTTAAAAAATAATAATCCAGAATATTAATTTTCTTTTTTAAAAAAATATGGATGGTACCATGTAAAATTAGGATAAAGAAAGCACTTAAAGAGTATGATGTGATATATAATATGGCAGAAAACATGCTGTACAAGATCCTGACAAAAAAAGGAGGGCTATAGTAGTCATATGGCATAGCCCTCATCAAATCACCAGTTTGACAGCTCCAACAGCCCTGTAAGGTGGGATATAAGGCTCAAGGATCGACTTCTGGGGTCAAGGGTCAACCCTGGCCCCTGCCCCTGGAAGGGGTGGGTTTTGGGGTGACGTCAGGAGTTGTGGAGGTCACCGTGGACCTATAGGAGGGTTTCCTAGAGGCAGGGGTCCCCCATGACCCTAGGGAGGCCTGAGGATTGCCCCACGAAGGGCATGCCCACGCATGCCCTTAGACCCACCCCCTTTTCTACAGAGACCCTCCAATGGCTCCCATTGGTCTACAGGGCTGCGGGCTGGCTATAGTTAAATAATAACTATTGGAAAAAGAGACTAGTCATTTTCCACAAAATAACATTACTACTGGCTATAGTTAAATAATAACTATTGGGAAAAGAGACTAGTCATTTTCCACAAAATAACTGTAAACGAATTTTTGCTTGGAATGCCCACTAACAGTGCAGTCCTACTCACAAGCAAGTCTCCTGTTGTTCCATGGGACTTGCTCACAAGTAAATAAGTACATGATTGCTACTTAAAATCCATAGCTTTGACAATGCAGACCTTTGTCTCCAATGTGATGCAAAGCATGCTGCTTATATACCGCTCCATAGTGCTTCAAGCACTCTCTGGGCGGGTTACAAGTTAGTTATGCAGGCTACACATTGTCTGCTTTTTAAGATGTTGTCTAGGTTTGTCATCACTTTCCTCCCAAGAAACAGGTGTCTTTTAATTTTGAGGCTGCTGTCACCCTCTGCAGTGATGATGGAGCCCAAGAAAGGAAAATCTGTCACGGCCTCCATATCTTCCTCTTGTATTTGCCAGGAGGTGATGGGACCAGTGGCCATGATCTTAGTTTTTATGATGTTGAGCTTCAGATCATTTTTTGCACTCTCCTCTTTCACCCTCATTAAGAGGTTCTTTAAGTCCTCCTCACTTTCTGCCATCAGAGTGGTATCATCTGCATATCTGAGGTTGTTGATATTTCTTACAGCAATCTTAATTCTGGCTTGGGATTCATCCAGACCTGCCTTTAACATGATGTATTCTGCATATAAATTAAATAAGCAGGGAGATAATATACAGCCTTGTCATACTCCTTTCCCAATTTTGAACTAGTCAGTTGTTCCATATTCAGTTCTAACTGTTCCTGTCCCACATATACTGTAGATTTCTCAGGAGATAGATAAGGTGGTCAGGCACTCCTATTTCTTTAAGAACTTGCCATAGTTTGTTGTGGTCCACACAGTCAAAGGCTTTTGCGTAGTCAATGTAGCAGAAGTAGATGTTTTTCTGGAACTCTCTGGCTTTCTCCATAATCCAGCACATGTTAGCAATTTGGTCTATAGTTCGTCTGCCCCTTCGAAATCCAGCTTGTACTTCTTGGAGTTCTCAGTCCACATACTGCTGAAGCCTACCTTGTAGAATTTTGAACCTTGTTAGCATGTGAAATGAGTGCAATTGTACGGTAGTTGGAGCATTCTTTGGCACTGCCCTTTTTTGGGGGTTGGGACATAGACTGATCTTTTCCAGTCGTCTGGCCACTGTTGATTTTTCCAAACCTGCTGGTATACTGACTGTAGCACCTTAAACAGCGTCATCTTTTAAGATTTGAAATAGTTCAACTGCAATGCCATCACCTCCACTGGCCTTGTTGTTAGCTATGCTTTCTAAGGCCCACTTGACTTCACTCTCCAGGATGTCTGGCTCAAGGTCAGCAGCCACAGTATCTGGGTTGTCCAGGACATCCGGATCTTTCTGGTACAATCCCTCTGTGTATTCTTGCCACCTCTTCTTGATGTCTTCTGCTTCTGTTAGGTCCCTCCCATTTTTGTCCTTTATCATATCCATCTTTGTACAAAATGTTCCTTTAACATCTCCAATTTTCTTGAACAGATCTCCGATTTTCCCTTTCTATTATTTTCCTCTATTTCTTTGCACTGTTCATTTAAGAAGGCCCTCTTGTCTCTCCTTGCTATTCTTTGGAAGTCTGCATTCAATTTTCTGTAACTTTCCCTATGTCCCTTGCATTTTCTTTCCCTTCTCTTCTCTGCTCTTTGTAAGGCCTTGTTGGACAGCCACTTT